GCTAAAGCCACATTTCAAACTAAGGTCTGTATTGTGAAGCTATGTTCTCTCCACTCCCTCTCAGTCCCAGGAATTTTCGTGGTGTCAAGATAGCAGATAAAATGTTGAGACTAATTACATTTTATAAGCAGCAACTTCATTATTGAATAGCGATAGGCCAATACTGTATTTACTATCATAAGGTACATAATTTAATAATTTCTTTTCCTCACATTCTTTGTCTGGACCACTAGACTTCATATTGATGTCACTGATCTCATAGTGTGTTTTGACCAGTTTCATAGCTCACCTCTTTCTCTTGACTTTCCTGGTAGTTTACAATGGGGACAGAAAGTAGCATTGGGGTAATACAAACATACTAACTGTAAATCCTTTGATTGTAAGATCAAGAAGCCTGAGAGAAAATTTGCAGTGAGAATTTAACAGTGACTGGGGAGAAAAGGGGCTCTTCCTCATCTACATGTTTTACCTAATTCTCAAGGTAAAGACTGTTTTTTTTAAAAGAAGAGGTTGCAGACTGGTGACCTGTGTGCTGTATGCAGGCCAAAGGTGTGTTTTCACCAGGTGTTTTCCCTTTTTGGCAAAGGAGTAAACATTTAAAAATTGATATTTTACAATAAATTATAGATTTCCTATTTCTCTTGAAAAATGAGAAGGTCTGTTAACACTCGGCTCATATCCTTCATGGAACTGTCTAGCTGCTGCCTCCCTGAGTTGGTGAATGGGGTATGTCAGTGCCCCCACCCCCAGTCATCCTGTACTCTCCCATTTCTCTCATTTGCATTTCCTGCCTGGCCCTGTAGACACAGTCATGTGTCGTTTAACAACAGGGATATGTTCTGGGAAAGGCATCAGGCAATTTTGTCATTGTGAACATCATAGAGCGTATTTACACAAACCTAGGTAGTATAGCCTACTACACACGTAAGCTATCTGGTATAGTCACCATCATATACGTGGTCTGTCATTGATCAAACGTCATTATGTGGTGTGTGACTGTATTTGAATTTATGACCCCTGTTTTAAAGTGTACATAATAGACTCAGCAAAATTCTAGCTTATTTGCCTGCATTTGCTGTTCTATGGACAGTCACTTTGAAGCTTATGAAGAGACATTATGGTGTATTAAATCATGTAAGCAATTGCTAGACAGTATTTAGAATGGCCACAGATCCTTCTCCAAGGGAAGGGAATAAATATTTGTCAAGGACTTCATATTATGCTTTATAGTGTAATGTCTTATTTAATCAGTTAATCAGTCATAATTCTGAGCAGCAAGTAGTAGTATCATTTTATGTATTAGGAAATGAGGCCAAAGTCTCACAGTTAATAAGGGGTAAAGCCGGGATTCATATCCCACTCTTTCCCAAAGCTCATGTTCTTTCCACTACGATGTATTGCCTCCCTTTCAGTTCCAATAATTGTTTGAAATTCTTAGATTATATGTTTGGTCTCCAGCACATATGAGGGTAGTTCAGAAGTTTTGTGGAAAAATAGAATTGGAAGAAACACGAATCTTTTCATGAGCTTTTTGAAGACTTCTTGTATACTACCAGTTTCCAGGCCAGAAAAGCATTTTCATCCTAACATGCATTGCTGTTTTTATTTCATATTAGGAAAGTTGGCAAGCACTAGATAGTTCCTTTGCTTTCCCACTTAGTTGCTTGTGCTACTTGATGGTTGATAATAGAATCAATACGGTATTCTGAGGTGTCTCTGTTAGCAAAAGAGAGCATTTTTTTCTTTGATACTATTGCTAACCTTTTCTCTCTCCTGGACATACATTCCCTTCCAAATGGCAATAGAAGCCATCTATTAAATGTTTTATTTTTCATTCAGAAAGCATTTATGATACATACGTCTGATCAAAGATCCTGGGAGAAATTCTAAAGGACAGGATATCTGCCTTCAAAAATTTATACTTAAAAAAAAAAAAACTAGAGGGAAATTATGTAACAAATCAATACCTCTAAGAGAGTAAACTACACCAAAAAAAGAAAAAGAACAAGGGGATACAAATAAGGGTGATTGCAGAAGGGAGTAGTCACAGCTGGCAATTACTTAGTTGTCATCAAAGTCTGGCTATGCTAAAAATCATCAGGAAGCAAAGCCCACTCTTACTTTCAGAAGTAATAAAGACATACATCATGTGATGTTAAAACCATAGCGTGGGAGGTCTTAGCCTGTTCTTAGATGAAATCCTGAGGCCAAAAACACTGTGAGTAATAATAATAAAAATAACTTGAACTTCTCACCCAAAACAAACACAACTTTTTAATCTGACTCTAAAAAAATACTTGTGGACATTTAGCAAGTAATTTATCTTTTTTTCCTCTTCATGGTTTGCATTATATAAGTTATGGAATTAGTATGTACTCTTCTCTTTAGGTAGTTTAGATCATTATTAGAGATCCTAAATTTATATCAGCCTCCAGTTGATGGTCACATTTTCTGTCTTGTTCTAGTGCTATTTTCATATCATGCCAGACACGTTGGCAAGTGGTAGACATTTCCTATGCTTTTGTACTCTGACCCTTTCTTTTTCCTTCTCAGTTATTTTTTAACCGTTTCACAGTCACTGACAATATTTATTAAATCTAGAGATGAGTGGGATTGTTTTATTTTTTTTTGAAGGCATAAAAAACAGTCCTGTTTAGTGAAATAGTTTCCTTTTGTATAAGTTATGTAATAATTTGATTCCAGACTCGTCTTTTTTAACATTCTTAATTTTAGACTATTGCAGAGCTCATAAACAACTATTGGTTTATACAAATAAATAGTTGATTTTTTTTTTGGCAGAAGAATAAACTTTATTGAACCCCTCAACCCTAGTGGGGTTTTTTGTTTTGGGGGGGCAGAAGAATAAACGTTATTGTATATAAATAAATAAATGTTTTAGGACCTATACTGCTAATGAGAAAAGTGTTTTCTAGCACTGTCATGAAAATATTGGTGTATTGTAATTGAATTAAGTTGTTTAGACCAAGGCTGATTGTAGACACAATTACGAACTGAGAGAAATTGGTCTTCTTTACCAGCCAGCTGTTTGCATGCTGCGTAGCATAGTTTTTAGTCCCTTTCCCCATCCTAACTTATGAAGGTGTTTGTTGAATTAAGTTGTTTAGACCAAGGCTGATTGTAGACACAATTACGAACTGAGAGAAATTGGTCCTCTTTACCAGCCAGCTGTTTGCATGCTGCGTAGCATAGTTTTTAGTCCCTTTCCCCATCCTAACTTATGAAGGTGTTTGTCTCCTCTCCTTGCGGTATATTCTGAGGTCATGTTTTTGTTTTTTATTATAAGAACACTTTTTTTTTTTTTTTAAAAAGATGACCGGTAAGGGGATCTCAACCCTTGGCTTGGTGTTGTCAGCACCATGCTCAGCCAGTGAGCAAACCGGCCATCCCTATATAGGATCCGAACCCGTGGCCTTGGTGTTATCAGCACCGCACTCTACCGAGTGAGCCACAGGCCGGCCCTTATTGTAAGAACACTTAATATGAGATCTACTTTCTTAAGAAGATAATTTTTTAAGTGTACAATGCATTATTGTTGACTGTAAGTAAAATGTTGTATAGCAGATCTCTGAAGTTTATTCATCTTTCTTGACTGAAACTTTGTGCCCATTGATTAGTAACTCCTCATTTCCCACTCCTCCCAGCCCCTGATAACCACCATTCCACTCTGATTTTATGAATTTGACAGTTTTATATACCTCATATATATGGAATCATGCAGTATTTGTCTTTCTGTGACTGGCTTATTTTACTTAGCATAATGTCCTCAAGGTTCACCTATACTGCTTTTTAAAGGCTGAATTGTATTCCATTGTATGTATATACCACATTTTCTTTATCCACTCATCTGTTGATGGACATTTCAGTTGTTTCCACATCTTGGCTGTTGTGAATAGTGCTGTTGTGAACATGAGATTGCTAATATCGCTGCAAGATCCCGCTTTCAGTTCTTTCAGAAAATACCCAGTAACGGGATTGCTAGATCATATGGTAGTTTTATTTTTAATTTTTTGAGGACCCTCCATCCTGTTTTCCATAGCAGCTGTAGCATTTTGCATTTTGTATTTCCACCAGCAGTGTGTAAGGGTACCAATTTCTCTACATTCTCATCAACACTTGTCATCTTTTGGTTTTTTGTTAATAGCCATCGTGGCAGCTGTGAGGTGATATCTCATTGTTTTCTTGATTTGCATTTCTGTGATTATTAGTGATATTGAACATTTTTCCATGTCCTTTTCGGCTATTTTATGTCTTTTTTGGAGAAATGTCTAAGTCCTTAGCCCATTTTCTTAATCAGTTTTCATATGATGGAGTTGTGGGAGTTCCTTGTATATTATGGAGATTAACCCCTCAGTAGATATGAGAGTACTTCAGAAAGTTTGGGGAAAAATAATAGAATTAAAAGATAATACAAATCTTTCCACAAACTTTTTGAAGTACCCTCATATAGTTTGCATATATTTTCTCCTATTCTGTAGGTTGCCTTTCCACTCTGTTGATTGTTTCCTTTGCTGTGCAGAAGCTTTTTAGTTTGTGAGGTCATGTTTTTTTATGTCATTAAACATTAGTAGGTTGACCAAGTGGTGTGGTGGATATGGTTGTTGTCTATTCAAATAATCTCTCTCTTTTTAACTGTTACGGAAATTTCCATCATAAAATTATTTCCTGTTGCATTTTTCTACCTCAGCTTTCCTGGCCTTCTAGTAGAATGTGTCAACTTAGGTAAATTATATTTTAATTATGAAAATAGTTATTCCCAAAGAAATGGCCAATGGTTTTTTTCCTACAGTGTTTTGGAGTAGGTCTTTATATTATCACTTTGTTTTCTATATGCCATGTAATGTATAACAAAAACAATTATAATGAGAATAAAACTTTGAAGTAACTATTTTTATCTTGTTTTTATTCTATCACAGTAATTTACTGTTCTATGATTATACAGATAATACACATGACTTAATTTTTTTCTTGTGTTTCAACAGAAGGAGAATATATTAAAATGTTTATGCGAGGTCGGCCAATTACAATGTTCATTCCATCTGATGTTGACAACTATGATGACATCAGAACAGAACTGCCTCCTGAGAAGCTCAAACTGGAGTGGGCGTATCCTTCTCTACTATGACAGCAAATTTGTTTGCTTTGTCTCTAGTTTAAGAAAAATTAGTTTACCTGGTCTTTATCTGTCTTTATACCAAAACAGTAAATATAATAAAAATAACAACCACTCAAGAAATTAAAAAGGAGACATCATCTCTAATCCTTTTACATATTATATATGTTTTGCTGTTAGTAATTTAAAGCCATCAAAATTAATACTGTATATTTGGAAAGGGCAAGCAGTGTTCCATGAACAACATGGCAGGTACTTGTGGTAGAAAAGGCACTAGACTGAAATTGGAAGACTGGTGTTTGAGTTTGGACTGTCCACTTACCCCTTGTGAACCTTAACTCTCTGTACTTATTAAAGGGATTAATAACCCCTACCTCACAGGACTGTTGTAAGAATTAAATAAGAAAACATCAGTTAAGCATTTTGTAACCTGTGAAACGATGTAGGATGTGAATTATTTTATTAAGAGCTCAAATTAACAAGGTTGATTCCAATTCCAGAATTAACTTCTCAGCCAGACTTTTTAAAAAAAAATTATTTAAAAGAGAGTTCTGGTGATTTCACCTAGAAATTCTCACTTCTCTTAGACTCTCTAAGAAACTCAGTGAAGCAGAAAGGAACTAATAGTTTGAACTCTGCTATCTGCGCCATTCACCTACACCCCCTCCCTACCCTTCTTGAATTATTTCCACCTTTAGGCAAAAATCAGCTTAAGAAAACTCGTCAATCCTGTAATTCTGTACAACATCTTTTTAACGAATATTCTGTATACTAAACTGTGCTTGGCTATCCCTAATTCATCATTTAGGTCCAGCATAAATGTCACTTTCTCAGATAAGCCTTCTTTTGCTTTCTCCCTTCTCTTTCTCTCTCTCTCTCCATCTAAATTAGGTTCTCCATTTATGCTTCCTTCTGGCGTCCTGTTATTTTTTTCTCCCACAATTTGTAATGATATATTTGGTGATTATTTCTGTCATCTTTGCCAGAGCATAAGTTCCAGGGACACAGGCCCTACATTTGCTTTGTTCAGAACAGTATGCTCAGCACTGTGCCTGTAATTATTAGGAACTCAATGTACATTTGTCAGGTGAATGAGGAAACCAGATTTAAACACATTAAGAGACTCAGGGTTGCAAAAGGGATAATATCAAGACAAGTTTTCTAGTTATAGTCTAGTCCTTTTTTCTTTATACCATGAAGAGTTAATTTAACATCTTGAAAATTATATTTATTAAAAACCTTGACTCTCTTTCTTTTAAGATATGGTTATCGAGGAAAAGACTGTCGAGCAAATATTTACCTTCTTCCTACTGGGGAAATAGTTTATTTCATTGCATCAGTAGTAGTACTATTTAATTATGAGGAGAGAACTCAGCGACACTACCTGGGTCACACTGACTGTGTAAAATGGTTGGTATCCTTTAACATTGGTTCATTTTGTTCATCCGTGCCCTCATTTTGTATTTTTTAAATTTGAGTTTTATTGAAAATGATTTCTTGTGGAGAACTCAGAATGTAGAGATATTATAGGCATTCTGTAGATTATATTTTATAAAGAAAAAAGGACTCACAGTCCTCCAAAACATTTGGTGTGGTGTCAGCAGCAATAAAATATACCTCGCTGCCCCCCATAAATCTTGATTGGAACCTCTTCTGCTTTCTCAGGTCCCTTATAGACCTCTTCTTCTGGTCTGTAGTATAAAATACCTGTGGGGCAGACTAGACTTTTATAGGTTTCTGAGAGTGATTATTGGTTACTCTGTATGTATAGAGGATTTGTCCTATGCAGATATATTTTGGATTTCAGCCTTTTCTATTTGGGAGAAAGAAATCTTGGCTGAGTAAGGATCATAAGTATTCCATAGGATGTCGAACTGTAAAAATGTGACAACTCCTTTCAAATGTGTATGCATATTTTTAAGTTACTTAATAAATTTTGCTACTCCTTATTTAAATTCAATCACTTATTGCTTAAGTCCATTTTCCCATATTTAAAAGCTGCTCCTCTTTATGTCTATAGTATTCTGGCAACTATACCTATCTAGAAAAAATTTACTCCAATATGTGAATATTAGAATATTATATAGATATTGTTGAACTTTAAGAGATGATTAAAATATTGCCTTTTATGCTTGCAGAATAATATATGCTCAAAATTATTTATTACAGGATTGTTTGTGGTAGTAAAGATTAGAAAAAGCCTAAATATCTTTCATTTGGGAACTAGTGAGGTTGTGGTGCACACCATGCATCTATAAAGAAAGAATGAGAAAGTGCTTTAGGTATTAATATGGAAAGATCCCTAAGATATACTTCTAAGTGCAAATATTAAAGTGCAGGAGGATGTGCACAGTGTTCTACCATTTGTGTAAGAAAGAGGTAGACAATAAATGTTTATCTTGGTTTCCATACAAGTAAAAATTTCCTAGAGTTATTAATAAAAAGAAAGTAATTGCAGTAATTACCTGATAGGGCTTACAGGGGTAAGGATAGAGGTGAGGTGGATGAGATCTTAGCAGATAGCGCAGATAGGAAAGAGACTTTTCTCAGTATGTCTTTTATAGCTTTTGATATTTGAACCATGAAAATGTTACCCAACCCAGAAATTTTAATTTAAAAAATTTGTTTAAAAAGAGAAATCTGAATTAAATATGGCAAAATGTTAATGTTAGACTTCTAGTTACTTTAAATGTAATTGACCTCAATATAAGACAAAAGCCATTAAAGCTGTTGAAAAATTCTAGCCTTCTTAGTAATCAAAGAAATTAAAATAAGAAACCGTTTATACCAATCATATTATCAAAGCATTTTAAAAGATATAATTCTTAACATGGGAAAATTATAGTGAAACTTTCTGAACATTTTTATTTCTTAAGACAATTTAAATTGATACTACTTTTCTGAAAATTAATGAACAATATGTACCAAGAAGCAAAAAATTTTGTATTCTCAGTTGAGCTTACCCCTTGTTTGCAAGACATAGAAAGATTCTAATCTATGGACATGAAGACAGCTTTTAAAAATTTCGCTAATCACTTGTATGTGTGCCGTGAGAA